TTTTTTTTTTTTTTTTGTGGTACCGGGGATCGAACTCAGGCCCTTGCGCTTGTGAGGCAGGCCACCAAACCGCTGAGCTAAATCCCCAGCCCCAAAGTAGTTTTGTTTAATTAGTTAAAGTGTAAAATCAGGAGATTTTTGTGTAAGCCTAATTTCTAATTTAACAACAACATCAACAAAACCCAAACAAATAAACACATGCCAAGCATTTGCTCCAAAGAGAAAATACACTCCAGTTCACCAAGTGTCCGCCAAAACACCCACACTTACTGTTGATATTTATTTGGCCTTCATTCATTGACCTCACTGCTCTAGCAGACTTGTGAATTTGTGCTTCCTACCCTTCGTGTTACTCAAATCCATTGTGTTGTTTCTTAGGTCCTGTTTTTTCATGAGTTGGAGAGGATTTGTCTGTTTCCCTTTTTCCCTCATCAGGTAGTGTATTCAGCTTATAGTAGTCACTCAAAAAACATTTGGGAGTAAAGTCTGTTTGGTTTGATTCTGGTCACCAATGACTTGAGGTGTCTCTACCTGATACACAGGTTTCTGCCTGTAGGGTATTTTGAATGGGATATTTTTGTTTGGGGTTGAGAAAAAGTGTGTAGTACTTCATGTTGCATATGAAAAATTGGCGGCATGCACAAGATAAAACAACTTGCCCAAGGCACCAAAGAAAGTTAATGGTGAGTCGAACTCCTCAGAACAGTAAGAATAACTCTTGTTTGTGTAGCACTTTAGGTTACAAAGCATTTTAACCTATACTCCTGGGATATGCAGGAGTGACATTACCATCCCCAATTTATACAGCTATGGAAACTGAAGCTGTGAATTTAAACGGTTGACCTCAGAGTGCCCATTGAGGGAAGAGACCTGATTCTAACATAACCTTTTGATCTCAAGTTCAGGGTTTTTCCTGTGGTTTTCTCTGATGCCACCTTTTCTGGCTCCTAAGCTCAAATTCTTTGTAGGCTTTCAGTAATGTGTACCTGTGCCTGTCTTTGTGCCTTCATTTCAAAATAAAACACCAGAAAAGGTAAGTTCTTATTTACTTACTTACTTACAGAGGCAAAGATAATAAGAAGCCAGGAGTAAATCAGTGATGGCTCACCTTCCTATCCTAGTGTAGGGAAGCACTGACTTGAAAACTCCCTTTCCTTTGGCGGGGCATAGTAGTGACGTTTGTACTGAGTCCCTGTTCCTCACCGTGCTGCTGCTTATCTGAGTAACCTGTTTTCTTTACCGCTGTTTCAGGGCTCAGGAGGCTTGAGAAATGTGGTCTTCAAGGGGTCAGGGGAAGAGTTCCAATCTTTCTATGTTCAGCAAAATAAAAAATAAAGAAAATGAGCCTCGGAAAGACAGCTACCTTGTGGTACAAGGGTGTCCCTACTTTCTTTCCCTTTATGACTTCCGGAGGGTTGAGAGCTGAGCTACCAAATCAAATGCACATGTTGCTGCTGAACAAATTGAAAATGATTAATCCAAACTGATGTGATGTAAGCATGCGATACATACAGATTCTAAAGACAGCGCCAAAAAAAAGAACGTAGGGCCAGGGGTTTGGCTCAGTGGTTCTGCTGCCTTCCTCACAAGCACAAGGGCCCAAGTTTGATCCCTGGTACCAAAATAAACAAACAACAACAACAACAAAAAGAACATAACTGTACCAAGTTTTTATAGCGATTATATGTTGAAGTGATAACATTGAATAGATAGTACTACATACATTTTAATTATTAAAATTAATTTTACTCTCTCCCTCCCTCCCTCCCTCTCTCTCTCTCTTTCTTTCTTTCTTTGGTTTTTTTGAGACAGGGTCTCATTATGTAGTTCAGACTGCTCTGGAACTCACTGTGTAGCCCAGGCTGTCCTCGAACTTGCAGCGATCCTCCTGCCTCAGCCTCCCGAGTGCTGGGATTACAGGCCTGTGCCACCATGCCCGGCTGTTCTTTATTTTTTTAATGTGGCAACTGAAACATTAAAATTATATAGATGGCTTATATTACACTTCATTTGGACAGTGCTGGTTCAGAAACAGTATCTCTTCCCCTTGATAGTTCTAAGAGACAAATATTTTTATTCATTCAACAAATATTTATAGAGACCTAAATGGAACTACTGCTGAAAGGGAGGCTTTTGTATCAATTTTTAAAAATTCCCAAATAATCAATCCCCTCAGTCTCTTGAATAATTCTTCTGTAGGTGAGTCTTATATTACACATGAAGCCTGAGTTTGCTTTTTATATCATCCAGACACTGAAACCCTGTTACCTAAATTGCATGGAAAAGTAGAAGACTAATGGGGATACAAATTTCTCATTGCTATTATGTTAGACATATTTTACAATGGGCTAGAATGTAAGGCAAAATATTTTCATTTCTGCTAAGAGAATGGCCGTGAATTTCTATCACTAGTTTTCTTCAGAATATCTGACTTACCCAGGGAAGAAACACTCGGCCTGCACTGCAGTAGAATATTCAAGTACTGCATCTGCAACATGGCTGTATGAAGGTGGAATTGCAAACCAGGCGAAGATGGAGTCGTCACGTGACAACTGCTGAGCCATGCGGAAATGGCAGTGCCCCCCCACCCCGCTGTATTCTTTTTATAAAGCCAAATGGTCAGATGGTTCAAGGATAGATGTGTAAAGAGAAAGAAAGAAGGGGGGGCAAACAAAGAATGGAAGGTAGGAAAAGAGAAGAGAGAGAAGGAGAAAGAACCATTAAAATATGAGGAAAGTATTTCTTTTTAAAAATATGCGGTAAGATTTTTAAAGCATGTTATTAAATTGTTATAATGGAAAAGATTGATAAATTTGAAAAAAGTTCACTCATAACAACATATAAACTTGGGATAATCTTTTAAAACTTGGATATACACATACACATGTACCCAGACCACATTGCATAAAGGACACTTGATATATAAAGAGTTTTTGCAATATAAATCTTTAAGAAAAATAGCCAACAGCCCAATGGAAATATGGACAAAATATGGAAATAGGCAAATCCTAGAAAAAGAAAACAGATGCTTAGTCTCATTAAACATATGGAGAAACAAATGAAGCAATATAATATAGTTTCTTACCTTTCCATCTAATAGAAATTTAGGCAGTGATTGATAACACCAGTGTTGTTAACAACTTGGAGAAACAAAGGTCTAAAGACATTATAGGAAGAGGTAAAAATTGATAGCTTTTTGGAGCATAATGTGGCTAAATTCTTCAAAAATATTTTTAGGGTTAGCTTATAGTTTGATCTAACAATTTCACTTTTAAGAACTTACCCTACAGATGTTTACACAGCATGTCAAAATATATTAAATGATGACATCTCTATACAATGGAGTACTATGCTTGTCCCTTTAGGCATGGAAAGAGATTCATGAGGTATTCTTAAGGATGAGAACAGTATGTACTTACTGGCCTCATTTGTGTTAAAACTTAATGAAGTTTGTAAAATGTATGAAAAGATATCTTCTAAATTGTTAATTGTAAATACGTGTGCAAAATGGTTTGAAAGGAGATGGATGTATAGAACTGTTTGAAACCTTTGATTTTTTACTCCATAGTAATCTGTACTATTTATTTCCTAGAAAATAATGAACATGTGTTACACTATACCTTTAAAGCTTTATTTGCCTTTTGCAGAACAATTTCTTCTTAGACCTACTATTTGTATTATCAAAAGCAAGAGAATGATTAATCTTTAAAACTTCAAAAGCAGTTGTCACTTTTCAATTCAGTTCTCATTAAAATTATTTTCTCTTTAAAAGAATGTTAAGTCTAACCTCTTTGAAAGGCCATACTATCTTTAAGAAAGAGGACAACTACTCACACGCACAAAGTTTATTTTAGCATCTTTTATTAGTACATAATGGCTGCTTTCATCACGGGGAGTTGGTACATGTACATAACACATCTTAATTCTTTTACCCCTTCCATTCCTGTTTCCCACCTCTCTTCACTTGACTTATTTCTTAAGTTGCCTTGTTGTCAATATTTTCTCTCATGTTTATTTATATCTCTGGTAACTTTCAAAGACAAATTCTTTCTAAATTTTAGGCTTTTCCTCAAAAAGGGACATAAGGATTCTAAGATCAATAAAACCATCTAGTCCTTGCCTTTAGCTCTGATACACTGTACTTTACTGTGTATCCAACCTATGCTTTGTCCAAGTTTCTACCAAGTGCTTAGAAGAAGGTATTTTAGGCTACAAATTTATTTTGCATATGATGAGTGCATTTGGAACTTTAAAGGTCATGATTAGATAAATGCCACAGAAAACCTATACTACGGAGCTCAAACAAACATTCATAAATTTTATCAAAATCCCATTAAAAGCTGTCAGACCCTTGTTTTCCTGTTGTTACCAAAGGTTGAGTTACATGTAGAACAAAAGTCTGTTTAACTTTCTTTCTGATTTGCCTAATGCCTTACCAAATAGTTTTCCCTTTATGATTTTCTCTGGAATTTATGAAGACAGCAAAGAACAGTGTCATCAATCCTAGCTTCTGCTGCTTCAAAAACAAAATCTAAAGTAATTTAAAAATATGTCAACATCTTACTAACAAATATTACTTATCGATGCATAAAAATGAAATGCAGGAAAAATATAGTAGGCTATTTCAAAGCACAGAGGTAAAATAGAAAAATGAACCATGTCTTTTTAGAGTGAGGCTATGCATTACAGATGTACAGAGCCAGAAGAGACATAAAAATTGTCATCTTTGACCTACTCTCTGAGGAAGCTGTGATCAGTAGAGCTAAAATGACTACCTTAAGGTCACAGGGTTGGTGAATGGCAGTGCTAGCCCTGGATTGTGGTCTTGCACCTGCCACTTTGCTAATTCTACCATGGTGCTGTGCCTACCTGCATGTGCATGCTTCTGCATATAACTAGATTTTTCTAAGTATTGCAGCCTCATGGTCCAACAGTTTTATTTGTAGACGCATGAGCAAACTCCATGTGTGCTTATGTCTAGCATGAGGCATGTACTAGATTACTTATGGCAGTATTGTTCTTAATAGGCAAAATCTGTTGGAGATAAGAAGGAAAGGAAAAAGAAAAGAAAGAAACCCCTAGTTTCAATTAGTAATACAATACATAAACAAATTATTATGTTTCATATAAGGGAATATTACATACCAGTTAAAAAGGGAAAAGCAACATATTCATTGAACAGTATGGCCGTATCCCAGTTGAGCAAAAGTAGCCTGAAATAAATTACATAAAGCACTTAGGTTATTTTTATGTCTGCTTATAAGCCCCTTAAGGGTAGAGACAATTTCTCTGCATCTGTAGTTCTCCAGTACCTGTCCCATTATCGGCACATACTGGGTGCTCAATGTGTATTTATTTTAGTGAAGAGAGATGATATGGGAAAGGTACAAAGGAATCATCCAGTATTTTTTTTAACTGAGAAAAATGGCAAGAAATAAGGCACAATAATTTTCAGAAGAGCACAACATATGGAAATCTGAAATGTTAGCATAGTAACACTTGACTAGGTATAGACATGACAAGATTATGGTAATACTTGAGAACATTTCAAAACAAGTACAACTAATGGAGCCTATGGTTTGACCCCAGAATTAATCTAAATGTGGTATCAAGTGCATGGGATAGTATTTTCTATTTATATTTTTGGCCTCAAGGAAGGAGAAGTTTTCTCCAACTCCTTCCCCTGTTTCCTACATAGCAGAACAGGAGTGCATTCTTGATTTACCAGATTCAGGCATATTGATTGGACTCCTGCTTTGGATGCTTTGTGCTGTAGGGTGGATGCAAGATCGTAGTGGAAGAAGACCTGCTGTGACTCCTCCTCCTCTGACTGACTGACTAAGCTTTCATCGGTTAAAACTAATGAGTTTGGAATGGGGAAATGAAGTAACTCTTCAGTCTGTCTTGGCTTTTGACTGCCTGTATAGGAAGGAGGACATGGTTCACTGTGTTCATTAGAGCTCTACACTGTAGAAGTGGGGCTTTCCCACCACAATACCAAGAGATCGCTTGGCTTCCTTTGGGCAGTTGATCTCTGGGGGACCACCCAGAAGGGGGATAGGCAGACCAGGGAAGATCTTTAAATTCTGGATCTCCTGGCCAAATCCTTTTGTAGTACTCTCCTAGGGCCACCTTTTCATAGCAACTCTGCTTCGTGCCTAAGTATACACCATAAGAACCACCCAGCCCCTTTCTCCTGACGCCCACACCGCACACCTTGACATGGTGTCATTCTCCTGTCACTGCCTGTCATTCCTGAAAGTTTATCCCATGGAGAATTTCCTTGCCCTCAAAAAGAGAAGAGATGCTCATGTCTGAAAAAGATTCATCCTGCTGAGTGTGGATCAGACAGGCCACCCAAATGTGAGTCCCCAGGGAGCCATGGAAACAAATTGTCAGTCGATTTGCAATCATCTGTAGTAACACTCGACTGCTGGGCTGCAATTAACACAGCTTTGTGAGGAGCCTGGTTGTGCAGAAAGCGAGTTAATTCTTTAATTCTTCATTAAATATTGACTGGCAGGATTTCCGTTCTCCTGTAGAGCTGTCTTAACAAGATGAGAAGACATGGTCTGGACAATTGAAATGGTAGGAAAAGGAATATTAGGCAATGCTATTTCACATGCAAGTACTTTTTGTAAAGTGCTGAGTATGTAATGCTGCGATGAGAAAATCTCTATCCTTAATATTTATTTTTCTACAGTGTTAAACTATGTACTCAATGTTTTCCCATTATTGTAACATCTAGATAAGTTGTGTGTAGCTTATTATCATTGAAGCTTTCCGGAAATGTTTCATTTTACCTCAGGGAAAACGAAAAGCTAATGTTCTTTCCTTTTTTGCTGATCTTATCAGCCCAGTACACATATTTTGACCCCTTATGTTCTTATTTTGTACTTTGGCTTTTCAAATCCACTAAATTAGCTTGCCAACGAAACTGGAATTTCTTGTCTTACCCTATTATGATATAAAATTTGAGCTTTATGAAGATAACTGACACAATGACATGATGAAAAAAACGTATTGAGAATTTCAGCCAACTTTATTGTGAAGTTCCCCAGCACATACGAAAGCAGAAAGTTAATTTATTTGGAAGTGGATGCATTAATGTTAATGGTTTCATTCTTAGTCTTCTTGATCATTTTTACCAAACCCAGCAGTTGCTAGTTCAGTGCTCAACTGTTCTCTGAGCAAATACTGAGCCATTGTTGGCTTTAACATATTCAGTCAGATATCTAAATACCCTTTTGATTATGCTTCTACACATTTCTTTGGTGAGCTGAAATAGATCTGCATTTGAGACTAGCAACTATTAAAATTAGACATCCTGGAAATCCTTTGAAAAATGTTTGTTTTTACCTTTCATCCTTGAGATTTGAACCCAGGGCCCTGTGCTTGATAGGAAGGTGCTCTGCCACTGAGCTACATCCCCAGCCCAAGGGGATCTTTGGTTTAATATCTGCCTATGTCATAGATACAGTGAAATCCCACTATTAAAAGACATCTGTCATGCAAAAAACAAAACAAATTACATGTGCAAACTTCAAAGTGGTAACTTGAAATTTTAGGTAAAGACATTGAAAATAAATCTCGGTGGATCTTTGAGAACTGTGTGACCTTGTGTGGTCTGTCGGTTGCTTCTGCAGTTTAACTCGGCCGCTAAGCAGCTGATTGAATGGGATAAACCTCCCGTGCCAGGAGTGGATGCTGGAGAATGCACCTCTGCGGCAGCCCAGAGCAGCACTGCCCCAAAGCACTCCGACACCAAGAAGAACACCAAAAAGCGACACTCCTTCACTTCCCTGACTATGGCGAACAAGTCCTCCCAGGCGTCCCAGAACCGCCACTCCATGGAGATCAGCCCTCCCGTCCTCATCAGCTCCAGCAACCCCACGGCTGCTGCTCGGATCAGCGAACTAACTGGGCTCTCCTGCAGTGCTCCTTCTCAGGTAAACCCCAGAGATGTGGAGAAAGAATCTGCTCTCCAATGTTTGTTCACAAACTGGAAAACACTGTTTTGAACTTCTGAAGATAGTAGCTTTCCTGGAATACAAAACCTTTCTTCACGTTATAGGGAGAAAAACAGAGAAGGGAAGGCTAACTGGAATGTATCAACTTAAAACTAGTTAGTCACTTTCAAAGGAGAGATCAGAACTTACAAGATGCATTAAATAATATTTATCTGTTTCACTAAGCAGTCACTCCGTTTTATAAAAACTCCAAGGCGCTAATTTGGAAGATCGTGCCATTTGAACCTTTAACTCTGCCCTAACTTACGCGGTCTAGTCAAAACTTATAATATGTGCAGCCTCCTGCATCTATGGTATATAACTCAGCATGATAGTTAGGCTTTGCAGTCAGAGTTACAGAGAAAGCATGAAAAGAAACATTTAATTTAGACTACCAACTGGCCTTGCTTTTATTTGTTTGAGACAGGGTCTCACTAAGTTTCACAGACTGGGCTCAAACTTCTATCCTCCTGCCTCAGCTTCCCACACTGCCAGGATTACTGATCTGTGCTATCCCATGTGACCTTGCATTTTCAAAAAGCTAATTAGTTCTCCCAACTTTGGATTATCTTTAACGATAGCTAAAAATACGTGAGATGATTATGAACATCGATTCATTTGGCAGCCACTTACTGAGCACCTTATTATTAGACCCTTCCGGGCAGTGTATCTCAAAATATATAAGATATAGGACTTAATTCCAGTCTACCAAACAAGCCCAATTGCAGCCCTGCCCAAGTCTCAGGACTACTGTCATTATCCAATTAGATGACAGTTGTATTTCCCTCAACCTAAAGGTCAGAGCCTGGTCTGAAACAGCCTGCCACAGCAGGAGAAGTGTCTCCCTAATCTCGTGTCGTTTTTTAAAAAATCGTGCAGATTTTACATTTACTCCACAGTATAGCTTTGGGGTTTCTTTAAAAATGAAATTATTTCCTCTTAGAAAATGAAGAAAATATAGTCCTGATCCTCAAGAAGTTTATGGTTTTCCAAGTGTTTATATTGGATCACAGAGTAAACATCTACAGTAGAGCTCTTGCTACTCCTTGAAGATTTTATTTAAATTATTTTTTTGTGATGTTAGAAGTTAAATACTTTCACTTTCTGAGTGGGATTGTGGTTGGTTTATTAATTTATTTTCTAGATGAGGCCACAGAACTTTTGATTTTACCAAGGGAAATAAGACACGTGCACGCTCACACACGCACACGTGCACACACATGTGTGAGTGTAGTAAGGATAGGGATCTTTGTTTTTGCTTATTGAATAAGGACCCTGAAGGACTAGGCTAATAAAGACAGCCAATCACTAAAGGATTGGTTGTTTTTAATCTGTGTTCTTTATCTAGTGACCTAGCAACATTGCACAACGAGGTTTTCTTGACATATGAGACAAGCTTCTACTGAGCCTAGTGACAGCACAGGAGGGGCAGGAAGAGCTTTGAAATTTGTATAATCTTTTGGCAGTAGAGAGAATGAAAAGAGAAAGGCAGATAAACTGAGGGTGCGCCCCTTCTCTGCAGTCAGGTGCGAGCATGTCTGCTGCTGCCACACCAGAGCTGGGAGTAAAGACTATAAAAGCAGAGCTATTTTTGTTTGGGTTTGAGCAGCTTAGGAAACAAGGCTCTTTCTGTATTCCATTAAAAGTTTCCCTTCACCTACTCCACCCTCCTCCTATATTCCTGTTTTCAGTGGTGGCGTTTTGCCTCAGGGAGAAGTTATTTCTAGAAGAGGATGGGAGGTGTTTGAAGTACTGCCTGGTTTCTCCACCTTAGGTTTACAGAAAACACCACTTATCTGGGGCACTGTGTACCCTGGGGGGACCACAGTCCACAACAAAGCATTGAGTGTGTGTAGCCCATGCGATGTGTGTGTTTTCTCCTGACCGTGTGGATTGGTGTAGGTGGAAGGTGGCCCCCAGGAGACTGAGCAGGGGACCTATCGGAAGGTTTAAGTGAGGCATTGGCCTGATTTTTGTCTTTTCCCCCTTACTCATTATCAACTTTACCCCCAGTTTTCTTTCCTCTTACTCTTCTTTTGTATATTAGTTGGCAGTAGGCTTGATTACAGTTATTAGAAAGTCAGAAGTACGAGACCTAAGGAAATGTAGAATTCATTTTTTCTCCCATCTGAACAAAATCCAGACAGAGGAAGCCGATGCCAGTGTGGTGGCACCACGTCATTCCTCACCTTCCAGCTCACCTTTCCACCAGCCGAGAAGGGCCTCGTCCTTGTGTTTCCAGGCGGCAGTTGGAGAACTTACTGTCGTGCCCAGGTATCAGGATGCTGAAGTGCACAGAAGGGGCAGTTTCCCCAACTCTTTCTTGCTCACCATTATATTTATGACTGTTGAGTGGCAACTGAACTTGCAAGTACAAAACGTGGGAGGATGCTTTTAGGCTGTGCTGCCCAAGTGTGTCTTTGGAACAGATATGCACGGGTGTCTGTGGTTGACATCTGTAAAAGCAGTGATAGTGCAAACAGCCATGACTTTTTTTTTTTGGTACCAGGGATCAAACTCAGTTTCTTGCGCTTGCAAGGCAGTCAGCGGAACCACTGAACTAAATCCCCAGCCCCAACCATGACATTTTGCGTGCTCTTCTGACCACACCTACAATATTTTTTGGTCCCTGCCAACTGAAGGAGTGATTCATAATATGAAGTGTTTCTGTGGTGTTTTTCTATTGCCATTGGCCGCAGGGGAAACAAAAAGTCCCACCCAGCCACTTCCTTTTGCTTTCCCCAACTCTTTCTTCTCCTTACTAATCCTTTTTTTGTTGGAGAGAAGGAATTAATTTTTACAGTTCCAAGAGAAGGGATGAGCACAGCAGAGACTCATGTTGTCTCTTTTCAGAGCATTTATTCTGGATACACTCATCCTTAGCTGGTTTCCTTCTGCTTCTTGTTCTTCTGTGTCTTAGTCTTGCTTCAGTGACTTTTTCCTTCCTTGGCTTCCATGCTGGGTGTAGCCCTGTGTTACAGTGGAACTTGTGAAGTTCTTGGTGTTTTGTGCTTTCTTCATCTGCCGTGGTAGAGACCTTAGGGAGCCTCTGGCCCAACTTCTCACAGGCTGCCGAGACATAAAGTGGTTTATCCCAAGACGATGAGGTTATTGGCAGCTAATAGTTCAACCCCCCACACTGGAACTTTTAGAAAAAATAGCAGTAATGAAATCTTTCTCAGATATTTGTAGGTTTGGTCCCAGGAAACTATTTTTTTCTGCCCCAAAGGTTCTTTGGTAATGATGCCATGCTGAGATGAACTTCACTGTACTTTAAAGAAAGGCTACGTCTTTTGTATAGTGTCAGACTTACACATATCCTTGGAATGGGAATATAAAAGGATTTTGGGGGATGAAATACCTAAAAGCTTTATTCTAGAATGAACAGCTAATATGTTTTCTATTAGAAATTGTTTTTTTCTTGGTTATCTCTTGTCACTGAGACACAATACCCACAATTCTAAGGAGGAGTTTTCATTGGCCCATGGTTTATAGAGGTTTCAGTCTGTAGTTGGCTGGCGCCAAGGCAAGTGGAATGGTGGCGTGGCAGCAGGGCCTGGCAAAGGAGAATTGCTCATGGCATGGCAGGCAGGAAGCAGAGAGAGATGGAGGGAGGAGAAGGAAGGCAGACCCTCCCAGGCCACGTCCTCTGTGACGCACCTCTCTCCCAGGGTTCACCTCCCAACATCACGATTAGCTATCAAGTCAGCAGTGAATTAATCCACTGGTGAGTATCATGCCCCAGATCCAGTCACCTCCCAGAAGCCTCACCTCTGAGCGTATGAGTCTTTGGGGAGATAGGTAGACATAAAGCACAACCGAAAGATTTTAGAAGTAGACAGTAGGTCATAGGATAGACAGAAAATGAGAGCTTGGGAGAAACTCTTTATTAGTGGCACCCCTGGATCTGCTTAGGCTCATATGTTAGCATTAATTAATGTTCAACTAGAAGGTACAGATGCATTCAAAAGATAGTGTGTTCCCTATGTAACTCAGATTTATTTGTGAAAATAATTTGTATGTTGTAATGCTGATAATTCTTGACCTTGGTAGGGCTTAACCTAGTGGGAAACTGAGTTTCCTCCAGGCTCTTAGGAAACTAATCCCTGAACTTTTCTGTCTTGATCTTCTGGGAACTGAATAAACCATGTTTGGGATTACGTTTTTTATTATGAGCCTAGATGTTTTAATACATCATTGTTTCCTTGGAGAAATAAAGCACCAGCCAACCACGTAGCTTCTATACATACTGGAGGGAAAATACTGTTTGTTCAGGAACCCATCCCTACTTCTGCAGCATCGGGTAGCACCACTGCATTCTGCAGCTGGACCTGTTCTGCAACCTGAGTGAAATTGTTCGAGTAATTGAACACAGGCAATGAAATGACCTGAATAACTCAATTTCTTTCTAGCAAATTAATCTTGGGTGGTATCATGTATAAGACACCTTTGAAAACAATTAATTTGGCTTGACATTGTTCCTTTAAAGGTTTTATAAATAATTGCACGCTGTAGGCATGTCCAGGCAGGTGCATTTTAATTACGCGTCCCCACTGAATGGTAAAAGTCATTAAAATCATCCTGAAAATGGCAAAATGCCTTGAAAATTTTCCATTGATTTAATATATTGATAGATGGGTGAATGTTCAGCCACAGCTCACCTTAATGGGATCTTCAGCAAAATTGTTAGAAGGCTAGTGGAGCCCAAAGTTGATCATCTGAGAGGTCACTGCTTCATGGTAGCATAAACATGAGGCAGCGTGTTACTGTGGAAGCCAACAGCAACAGAGCCCTGTATGTAAAGCATTGTAGTGATCAGGATTTGTCACATGGCTGCCCAATATCCAGTAGGTAGTCAGAGATTCTGCCTTCTCAAAATAATAGAAAGAATAGATTTTTTTATTCTATGTGACTTCCTCCCAGTATAACTGTGGTATTAAATATGGTTGTCTTTTTAGTGACTTAGAATTTTTTCTTGGCAGGTTCACATAAGTACCACCGGGCTAATTGTGACTCCGCCCCCAAGCAGCCCAGTGACAACTGGCCCTTCGTTCACTTTCCCATCAGACGTTCCCTACCAAGCTGCCCTTGGAGTGAGTATAGTGTCTCTGACTCTTTTAGGAACATAGTCATGTTAACTTCGTGCATTCTGCCTCCTAATGTCTGTGGTTTGCACCAGTCCTTGCTAGGTGGAATGGCTTTTATCTCTTATCTCTGCTAATCTTATGAAAGCTTAGACATTCTCTTTCCTTCAGCCTACAAATTTTTTAACAGTGAGTATCAGCTTCAGTGGTCTGAAGTTGTAGAAGAACACACAAAATATGTTTAAATTTTATTGCAGTTCAACCTGGTTCCCTACAGGTTTAGCCTTTCATTTCTTTAGAGTTTCTAGATCCTGCTTATTTCTTTTAAAGACTCATTTACAGAAATATTGAGAAAATGAGCCTCAAAGGCTAAATGGTTTGCTTTCACATAATAAGTTTATACTAAATCTCTACATCAGGGCTCATTTTTTTAGTTTCTTCTTTTCTGTTGGTGTAGTGTGTAGCTGTGGTACCCGCTGTCTTGATTTTTTTTTCCTTTTAAAAACATGGCATCCTACAGGTAGAGTCTAATCACTAATTGCTTAAAAATATCCAAATAGAAGGAATTAATAGGGATAATTAGAAAAGATACAAAGAAGGAACATGATAGAAAAAGAATCAAGAGTGAAGAAACAAGCAAATGCAGCCTTAGTAGAGAAAAACAGTAATCTTTACTTTCTAAAGTTGCAGTCAGTTGAACTACAAGAAACTATCAGTTGCTAGACATCTCTCATCCAGACTAACACCTTGGCTTATACTTTTAGACTGTTTGTCCCAGCACTGAGGACAGGAAATATCATTACATCAGATTTTGCCCCAGTAACCTGGACTGTGGTGTGACCCTGTCCAGCACACACAAGCAGTTCGTGGTGATGGTCTTAGAGAAACTGTGCCTTGGTGGTGGATGTAGATTTGGGATGAAGCAGATCTGGATCTGAAGTCCAGTTCAGCCATTTGTTATTTAACCAGGGAAAAGTTACTTAGCCTCTTTAAGTCTCAGTGCCCTTACTTGTAAAATGACATTGGTGGTATCTGTGTTGTGTCATAGAGTTAGAATGTAATAGGGATGGCTGGGTACTGATCTCATGATTGGCCTCTATGTAGGACTTTTACAAGGGGAGTCTGACATGTGCCGTTAGTTTACCCTAAGAATACCTTGGAGGCCTGATTCACTTGGTTATAGTGTTCTTTTGCTGTCTATCCCAGTAATAGTGAGGCTTCTAAACAGCTGGTTTGTTTTTAGGTTGTGGACTTTATATATATATTGTAAAGATTATATTTCTTCTGCTAGACTGCTTAGAGCCAAATTTGTAACCTCCCAGCAAGGACCTCACAATATATTAGTCAAAAATGTTGGCTCTGACTAGTTTTATTGCCTTTGTTTTCCATTTGCTTCATTTTTCTTACTTCATATTTATTTTATTTGATAACATTTTATAAATATTTGAAAACTGATTTTGAAACAAGATGGAATATAAATAAATGCAGTTATTACCTAACTTGACTTTTGAAAACTTTTTATAAGGCTAAGCACATTCTTTATTTAAATGGAAGTTAATAATGTTCTAGCTAGAGGTTTAAAAAAGTTTTTTAATGTTCTCTAAACAATTATGTTTTCCTTGATAATACAACTGGTGAAAGAGACATTGCCTTAATTTATCTGGGGAGAAGATGAATGTTAGTTAATATTTATTAAATTTGGTTTTCATGAGATTCTGTTAGCCCCGGATGTTTGACCAGAGCCACATTTTATAACCATCCTGCCTTCTGATCTCCAGGGGAGACTCTTCCTTTTCCTTCCCACTTCCAGTACATGCATACAATCAGTTGGTATTTCCATTTCCAGATAACTACCTTATATGGAAAAATTCTAACTTGATTTCTTAAGAGGGAAAAAAGACTGACTTTTCTGATCTTAGCAAAATTAATTAATGGGAAAGATTTAAGGCTGGCTGAGTTTCAGCTCTTATGAGCTAAACATTTTACAATATAGTAAATGACCAGTTCCTCTTAGCTAGGGGCTTACCTATAGGGCAAGTCAATTGGACAGTTCACAAGAGAGCGTGAATATATAAAAATTAATTTACATTCACCTACTTTATCCTTGGATTATATAAGAAAGCCTGCATGTTAAGCAAGAGAAAGATTTATTAAACAGTATGTCTACTGTGCCAACTCCATTAAATGAAAAAACTAATTATAAACAGACTTGTCTGTCGTCTCTAGAGATGTCTAGATCTCAAAGTCCCTGGTAGGCTGGCAGAAATGTTTTGGATTTAATATGTTAGGTTTAAGTAGAAAAATCTCAGTCGTATGTGCCTTTGCATCTTACATTAATTGTGACAAGTATGCTATTGAAGATTTGAAATACTTTTGAAGACTTTGAGTATGATCACAGGCAGTAGTATGCATGAAACCAGGCTTTTTGTGATGTGGATTTATACATGATAAATGCCACCACTAGCATAGGAAATGGATATTATTTCTAGTGGTTTTTTTTTAATAAATTGAAGCTTTTTAATCCTTTATGCGGAATTAAAGTTATGAGCATACGTTCCCGTGCATTTCCCATATAGCAGTTAAAATGTCTAGCATTATGAGCTAAACTGGTTTTACATCTATCTAGTCCAGACTTCACACGTAAAAGTAGTTTTTTAAAAAAACCAAAAACTGATTTTGTGGGATGAAGAGAATGAAGATCTTAGTTTGTGTCTTCTGCACAATGGAAGAAGTTTTAAAATAAGTAACTAATATCCCCTGGTCCTCTGTACCAGCTGGGAGGCGTTCAGCTGTGAAGTGTCACAAGGTAGCCAAGGGTCAGTACAGGCCAGACATCTCCCACTGCCAATTTGCAAACGCATTCAATTCCCAAGTTATGCAACCTTAATTCAAGGTTTTACACACACGTGACTGGTATGCTATATAAAAATTTTTAATATTTCTGAAGACTTGGAGTATTAATCGCAGCAATAGAGTACATATTGGTAGGAAGAAAAATCAGACTTTTTATGGTGTGGATTCATAGGAATAAATGCCACCACATGCATAGTGTGTGTGTGTGTGTGTGTGTGTGTGTGTGTGTGTGTGTGTGTTTAAAGAAACAACACAAATGAAGTTATATGCTGCCAGGTCTCAGAATAGCCAGTATACGATAGTCGGTTGCAATTGGTGGTGAAGACTGCACAGAATCTATTGCTGTCAACAGGGTAAGGGGAGGGCGAACTTGGGAGGTTTGGGGAAGAAGAAGCAGGACCTTGGGAACGGGCAAGTGTTGTGAAAATCAAGATGTGGTTAAAACTTTCATAGCAGCAACAGGAAAGGAGTCTGGCATTCTGGGAACTGAAACATTTTGATCCATGTCAGATTGTTCTAAGAAGGGCTTAGAAGCACAGAATGTTTTCTCATTTGTGAAACCTTCATTGAGGGTCTCTTTATCTTTTGGCAGCAAACATAGGTGCTACAGTGCAGCAAGTGAATGTCTCAGACTTTGTAGTCTCGCGAATCATAACAATAGCTTTCCTTTATTGAGCTTTTGCTGTGTTCCAGGGCAATGGGAGAGGCAGTTAACATAAACTGTTTGTAGCTATTAACTCCATCTGGTAGATTGGTATGGTAAGGTATAGCGATCTTATATGCTTTACACAATTAAATAGTATAGGGAATCTCTCTTCCCTATAGATTAAATGTAGAACAGTCAAGTAATAGTTTTTGCGTACAGTACAGATGGTGATGATGCTGCAGTTGGTAACATTGTTGACTTGAGGGAGCATCTTCAAGCAGTAGTTTGAACTATTCCCTCCTACTGTTCTGGGTATACCTGAGTCAAAAAAAAATGTTTAGAGGTGTTGCTGTTCAGGGTTGAAAGGGTGTTGATTGGAAATCAGATGTTTAGAAAGAAATTATGGTGGGATTGGGGAATTTTAAATGGTATTTGCCCAAGGGACCATTTTTCTACCCTGGAAGGTGTGTAAGGGAGATACACACATTAGAGATAGTTGGAAAGGAAATGAATCTTTTATTGTCATTTGAACTTGTGCCTAAAACTCCGATTCAAAGAACTGTGCTGATAGCTTGGCCTGCAGCCCTTGGCACAGACTTGAGACCTATGGGAGTTTTCCCCTATCCTTAGCCAAATCCAGATCTAACCACCACGGGGTGGATTGTATGAAATGGCAAGAGAAGTAGGGAGTGTCAGAAAGGAGGGGTGTTATTTCCACATACTTGAACTCACAGTGTCCTCTAGCAAATGTGGCCTTCCCTAAGGAGTCACTCTAGCAAAGTAAGGAAGAAGGCCACTCCAAAACAGAAAGTGACCTGTATGCCCAGCAGGTCCATAGTCCTTTTTTGTTGATAGGGGAGGTGTATCTTGACCCCTGATGCCTTGGCTGGTTTAGACCGTGAAACAGTAGGCAGGTCTTTAGGTCAGCTCTGGGTGAAGAAAAGGCTGTGGTTTGCTCTATAGAAAATTCAGGTCTTGCAGGACAGCAGACTTCCTGAAGCTCAGTATGCAGAGGATTACCTTTTGAACTTCCACATCACCAGATTATTTCAGTTTACGATGTTTATAAAGCAACCCACAGAACTTCCTAGTGTGGTCCAGCCCTATCATTTTACCAACTCTGTAGGACTGAGCAGCATCTAGGAATCTGATTCTAATCAGGCTTTCTCTCTTGGTCTTATGCACTCAGTATTAGGAAAAATGTGCCCAATTTTATTAATTACCCACAGAAAGAGAGGGAAAACTGTGTTATGTGTTGGGCACAATCTGGGGGGTTTTTCAAATTATCCTGTTTTATACTATATCTCAATGCCTGATCTTTATTCTTTGCAAAAATATTATACATGAAACATGTGCTTTCTGCATTTTATAACTATAAGAAGTAACCTTTCTTTACATTTTGCCTTTTTCTTCTTAAGGCTGATTTATCTCAGCCTCTTTTTATAAAGTTAAGATATAAAAGGTAACCTTAATTTCCTTGTTGAACACATGCCGTTTGTCTTCTGCATTTCCACAGCTACACTGTTTCAAGATTGAACTCAGAAAGATTTGAATGGAAATCATTGAGGTAGTAATTTTACAGTTTCTCCACGAACTACTCTGTATATTATAGGCTTGTAGTCTCACCTGTCAGGCCACTGATGCATTATTATCTTTGAACTAGTAAGGTCACATTGCTGGGTGTTCTACCAAGATTATCTTTATTCCTCTCTTCTTGGTCACTGCAAGGGGGCCAAACCGAATGAATGCTTGACTTTCAACTGGTTAAAGTTTGCAGAGGCAGGAAACCCGGTACATGTAAATTCTAGAGCTGTAACACATCTTAATGCTGCCTTGTTTTGAGAATGTGAGTGGCTTTTTTGTGCATTCTCATTTTTTGACCTTACCTCTGCCTTATCCAGGTTAGCACTCTCTTCTCTAAGCAGCTCTATACCTCATTTATTTCTGCACTAAACATTCTGCTGCAGTGTGGGAAAAAATCCTAACCAAAAGTCACTTTAGCAAAAAATTAAATATAACACAGGGAGTGGTTGCAACATCTGTATAGAAATTTGAATTTTTCTACTGTGTAGTGTTTCTGGAACCATGTACAGTAATAGATGAAGTAAATGTTGATGAGCTCCAAATTTTTATTCCAAAAAAATGGAAGTAAAGTGCCTGGGATTTAGCTCAGTGGTTCCAGGGCCTGCCTCGCAAGAGCAAGGACCTGAGTTCTATCCCTGGTACCAAAAAAAAGGAAGTAAAAATGATTTGTGAGCTATGTTGATTTTTCTCATTAATATGCTGATGTGTAGAAGTCATTTATGTTTCCTAGGTATATTCTTCAGTCTCCTTATTTTTCCTTTGATTCAATTTTTACATCTACTGCTTCAAAGATTTGGGGAGGGCGAGGTAGGGGGTTCAAGCAGTCTTTGTGTGCTTCTTTTCCCAGGAGTTTCAGTATATAGGCCCTTAAGAATTATCTGGGGTTTATAGATCAGAAAGCAACAATTGCCCCATTGATTTTCAAAAGGCATGGAGTCCTGTAGGCAGAGCCCCATTAGGCTGCGTCCATAAAGGAAACAGTGGCTTTTCACTGGTGTACTTGTTAAAGATTACCAGCCTTGATAGTCCTAAATTTCAAAAGCTGGCAAAGTTAAGAAGAGAATAAGCAAAAGTAGCAACAATAGCTCAGTGACTGTGGCTTGCTATTGTTTGAGCTTTTTGGAGACCGGGCATCAAAAGAAAATTTCTTCCAAAGGAATGATTCGAGATGTCGTGCAGCCAACTTGTTTTGCGTTGTGTTTAAGTTTCAGGTTACAAGAACAATTACAAATAAATTCCCAGTGAGCAGCATGACATAATAGTGGCTCTTTCAAAAGGCATTTGGAGCCTTGTCCTGGTCTCTACTTTAAAATGCTGTTAATCTTAAAATTATGTGCAATTGTTTCATTGTTTTCTTCTCCTCCCAAGGTTGAATATTTACCTGTTTATTGAAAGGTTGCTGTGGCTTTAAGATGCATTTTAAAGCGGCCTTTCTGTAGGCAGCCTGCTGGTTCTGCTCTACGTGGATTCCATTAAGATCTTGTTCTTTGAACTTCTGATCCCTTTCCCTCCCACCCTCCACAAAAGATCTAAATAACTATTTTGTTGTTTCCCTCTCCCTTACCTTTTTTCTATACCAGACTATGAATCCTCCTCTCCCCCCACCACCTCTCCTGGCTGCCACTGTGCTGGCCTCTACACCGCCAGGCGCTACTGCTGCTGCCACTGCTGCTACTGGAATGGGACCGAGGCCTGTGGCAGGATCCACTGACCAGATCGCACATTTACGGCCTCAGACTCGCCCCAGTGTGTAAGTGAGGGTGTCGCGCATTACTGCTTATGCATTCATTTAAAAACTGAGCCCACACAGCAGAGCGAGAGAAACATTCTTCTGATGTGAGCTAGTGCCAGGCTTACAGATCACTGAGTAGTTTGTGTTCTGCAAACTTCCACCCGGTCATGCATATAATTAGGAAACTGCTGAAACAAAATGGGCCTAACACATGAACAGCTAGGTAGCAGTCCTGCTGGGTAGAGGCCTTTTATTGTTTGGGAAACATACTGTTTGCTTCTTTGTGATATTGTTTGTATATGAAACTGCTCTTTTTTAAGGGTGGGGGTACAGCTCCTGTTAGAGCTTTCTATCTTCACTTGCATTCCCATCAGTTGGATATCGAGGAATAGGAAAGTATTCCACACAAATTAGATCTAGTTGGAGGATGTGTATAAAAAGCTACGAGTCCCCAGCAATAAGTATCCAGAAATGTCTAATATCCTGCACACAGACTACTGATAGCAGAATGCAGAGTGATGTCTGTGGCCCCTGCATTGTGTGAATTTAGACCTTATCACTTCAGAGCATGGTAAGAACTGTCCGTTAGTGTTGCCTGCCTTGTTTCCATATGTCGATAGGTACAACCACGCTGCACTGTGCGGTTGTTTTGTACTCTATGTGCTAGACTTTCTTTTCCTTTGACTTTTGCAAAGTCAGCCTCCTTCCTGGCTGAACATTCAAAAGCAGGTGTGGCCCAAGCCCCTAGGTTCAGCTTGTATCTCAAAGGCAGCATATTGTGCTTCCCAGGGGAGTTTTATACCATATGTCCTCATTTGGGACTATTCCCAAGTCTAACAAGTGCCATTGAAGTGCTCAGTTTTCCCATGGGGCACCTAATCCATAGCAGCAAGTGAGGCACTCTTGCAAATTGCATGAATGCTTTCACACCACACAAAGGCCATTTGGTGGGATAGTCCCTTCTACACTGAGAGGAGCAGGGTCAGCAGTTCGCAGCCAGGAAGGCTCCTGCCTGTGTTGAAAATGTAGCTGGCAAACCATCTTTCAGAGGAGACTTGCCATTGCTACTTGTGGTTAAAAGATTATACTTTCACTCTAAATCTGTCAAAATACTCATAGCTTTGTATCCAGCCAGTTTTAAGCATCTTGGCGTTTGTCTAATAGCCCGAAATCAAGTTTGGTGTTTTTGTTTTCGTTTTTCACCTTCTAGGTATGTTGCTGTATATCCATATACTCCCCGGAAAGAGGATGAGCTAGAGCTGAGAAAGGGGGAGATGTTTTTAGTGTTTGAGCGTTGCCAGGATGGCTGGTTCAAAGGGACGTCGATGCACACCAGCAAGATTGGGGTTTTCCCTGGCAATTATGTAGCTCCAGTCACAAGGTATGGTTTTGAATAAATGGCTTACTAAACTCTAAACAGAGAATCTTTGTTGTTTTCCATGGCTTTCAGTCTATTCAGATTCATCCTCACATTATAATTGCCTGTTACCCAGGCAGATTTAAAAATCCATATCCGTGTCTGGTAAAATCCCTTTTAATGCTAAGATTCATACCTTAGTTTTCATGTGGATATGTGTGAAATTATAGGTTTCCATCACCACATGCACAGGTTGTAAGTTGTTTTCTTTGATACGTATGTGAGAAGACCCAACTCTACCATTTGCAATATTTTTCTATTAGCAAATAAAATGCATAGCGTTTAAGGTAAACAAAAGCTATATTATTAGCACTTACATGTCTATATAACGCATGCTATATACCACACAGGCAGATTTCTGAGCACATTACATTTATTAACTCTTCTTCCTTAAACAACTCACTGAGGTAATTGCTATTCTTATCTCCCATTTAGTAGACTTGGAAACTTTGAGGTTTAGTAACTTGTCTAAGGTTGCTAAGTGAAGAAGCACTCACACCCACCTGGTCTGGACCTCTTTTATTCTGCTGACTTGGTAATTATTTCTCAATTCTGGCAATTCTAATGCAGTCAGAAATAAAAATTCCTTAAATATGGCATAAATCCATTTTAAATAAAGGTAGTATTGCTCCCGGGGGACATTTGGTGGCATCTGGGAGTATTATTGATTATCGCAGCTGAGAGAAGTGCTGCTGGCAGACAGTGGGTTCAGATGAGGATTTATGCCGCTAAATTCTCCAGTGCATGATGTCCCCTCCACTGCCACCACTAAAAGAGTCATCCAGCCCAAATGTCACTGAGGTTAAGAAACCCCATTATAGGTGATAGGAACTTTATGTATATATGAAAGTTTTTCTTCATAGTGTACCTTCTGGCCACCGAGGAAAGTAGCCTCAGATATGAAAGAAATGAAATGTGATGAAATTAACACTGAGGAACCCTACTGTTGGACCACTGGTCTCTTAATAAATAAATGGTCCGGGTTCAGCTGTGTGACATCACTCCTCAACCACCCCCCTCACCATTTTAAACACATGGCTTAATGAACTGACGTGTTAGTCCACTGTTGGCCTTGATTTATAGGTTGGCCAGCAGCCTAATCAAATGAAAACCACTATTGTTGCAGATGGTGACAGAATGTTAGCTTCAATTTGACTTGCAAATTTTTAATCAATATAAACCTTCTCTTCTGTAGATGTAAAAATCTGCATTCAAGGTCCAGCCCATCCAGAAAATGACAGATAAAACCTCCCTGGTATTAAAAAAATAATAATAAGTGAGGGAAATGCGACAAACAATGATAGAAATGAAGTTAGTGAGGGAAAACATTTTTCTAAGTTCCAAAAACAAATTATTAAATAAAAATCTCATATTGTTTACTCTGGACAAATGCTGGCTTATAATATATGATATGTTATTCATCATGGTAAATAATAAAAATGCCCAAGTTAATATTCTAGTTAGTAGAAAATTCCTATATACAGAATTATCATTTAAGTGAATTAAAAATAATAAAAGTAGATAACAATAAGGTAGATATTTAGAGCTGACTGTATCCCTTCAACTATGCTAATAGTGGAGGAATAGAACAAACCATTTTATGCTTGCCCCTGAATTCAAGGAACTTTTACTGAGTCATCAGTATTTAATATGAAATATATTTTTAAAAAATATACCACATGTTGTAATCAAGGGCTAAATTTCAAGCACTGTGTGGAGCTTAAAAACAGAAGAGAGGAAGGAATCTATGTGAAATAATAGAATCATAGGATCTTAAACTTGGCTTTTAGGCAAACCTTCTTAGAATGATGAGCTGTGTGCTGGATCTTGAAACATAAATGAAATTGAGGTAGGTCAGAAGTCAGAAAGGACAAGAGTGTGCATGTGTGTGTGTGTGTGTGTGTGTGTG